CTATATACAATATATATATATATACAGTAAGAGAGAAAAATAACATGTTTTTTGTATATAATTAAAGTTTCCACCTCTTTTTAGCAGTCTGTTACTCGATCATCCAACATTAAACCTGAAATGCATACATGTATGTATTTCAGCTGTGCATGTGCACTGTGGCCACCTTTATTCCTATGGATCAGCTGTAATCCACTGGATGGCTGGAGGCCACCATGAGTATGGCTGATACATGAGAATTATGTGGCATACATGTGTAGTAAGAAGAGGACCTGGTGGGAGTGATTATAGAGCAAAGGCAAGCTGCAGTGAGGGCATATAATGACATTCATGAAAGGACAACTGTACAAAAGCTACTTTCCAACCTGCTGATTGGACAATGAAGGAGCAGCGGCATAATAATGGGTTCATCCCTGTACCCCAGTACTGCGCTGATTGGCTCAGAGCACAGAACTTACTGTTGTGCAGAGGATTATAGCAGGAATGTCTGCAGGATAATCTAGCAATGAATGCACTTTATAGATGCTATAGAAGTTGCTCTTGTGGATTGTAATTGGAAGTCAGTATATTAAAATGTAATTCTAATTTTTGGGTAAGTACACACGCAGGTTAGAGCTGACATGTTGTTCACTAGAAAAATTGGGCCCATAAGAAATTTTAAAAGGCTATGTCAGACCACAGGAAAAATAAACTAACTGCAGTGAAGTATGCTATAAAGAAGAGCACACTACCATGGAATATCTCGCTATTTTTAAAAGTATTTGAAAACACAATAGAGGCTTTATCATTAGATTAGTAGAGTTTTAATAACAATTTAAGGGTTTTATATTTTTATCAAGAAACTTGGGAACCTCTTCTGTACTTAAATTGTGCAGAGTAGCTCATTAGATGCACACCTATTAGCACATATTGAGTAGCTCTAAGACAACCTGAAGAATCAGAGCTGATTTACAATTTTTTTCTGTAATTGATTAACCCAGTAGGTGATGTTTAATACATGGCAAATGCTTTTAAAATCTTCTCTTTTTCACTGTGAGAAAGTTTGAATATTGAATATATTAGGTTATTAATATTTTGCAAAACACTTTTTGAATACAGAGTTTAAATCCAATGTGAAGCATGTGGATAGTTATCATCATCATTTCTCCTAGTCACAACTTGATTTTCTCATTTAAATGGTGCTATATATGTGAGTGCTAAAGTCCATTAGTTTGGTGGTTGCACACGAAAATTGAAAAATTCAGAATGCTGTAAAATCATATAGTCATTCACATATTCAGTTGAGAAATATATTTTTAGGAGCAAGAAAAAATACATGTGGTGAGGAGATGATGTCACCATGTAAAACATTTGGCTCATCATTAGTGATCTAGCGACACATAATAATATCTGACATCCAAACCTGATTTCTGGATTAAGCAGTTGTTTATTCATACATAATTTGCAGTTCCATGCTTAACTGGCATGCATCTTTTCCATTAAAAAACAAATGTTAGGAAAAAAGCTAAAGCCACATATGGGGATTGTCTTACCTGTCAAAGGGTTTGTAGCACTGTTCAGCCAGTGTTGTAATCAAACACCACCGCAGGACATCAATGTCAGGTTCTGCTCCCCTTAAGACCCTACAGTCTGGTCAACCACCCACTTCACTTCAGCATTTACAGAGCAGCTCTGTGATGAGGTCAGCAATTTATGAAGCTTTGCAGCTTGATTGCCTTACAGTACTGCCCCCCCCCCCTCATAATCTGAGTACTGGGAGAGGGAGGGAGAAAATACTGGTTTAATGACATTGAATGAAATTGAAATTGACAGTGTAATTGACAGTATAATGTTCTTTAAAAAAAATGTTATTGGGTTAAATGGTGTTTTCTATATGCCTTTCCAAATGTCCAATTTTATAAAGGAAATTTCAGAAAAAGTTGTATAAAACTTCACGTTCTGACACAGAAGGTGTGAATGGAAGCATGGAAATACTTTTATATGCAATATTTTCCTCTGCTTTGGTTTATCCACAGATTTAGGGGGTTATTCACAAAGCTACTGAAGGCAGCCAAATGAATAACCCAGCCGAAGTGAAGTGAGCCAAACTACGTTCGGCTATTCACCCTGGCTCTGTACGGCTGATTTCAGTCATACATCGGCTGAAATCAGCCGTACATCGGCTGCCTTCGGCTGCACTTTGGTCAGCCGAACATGCTCTGCAGAAGGACTTCGACTCAGCCGATCAATTGTCAATTTCAATTTCATTCAATGTCATTAAACCAGTATTTTCTCCCTCCCTCTCCCAGTACTCAGATTATGAGGCTGAACTGAAGCTCCGGCAGCTCTCTCACTGCCGTTCACCCCTATTCACTTAGGGGCCAAACAGCAGTGAGTGAATAGCCGAATGCCCCCGAGAATAGCCCATACAGCAGCACTTCAGTTCAACTGAACCGAAGGGCTCTAGCGACCGAAGAGAGCCGAAGCAATGGCTGGATCCTTCGACTCCTTGGTGAATAACCCCCCTAGACTTTGTTGGGGTTTCTGCTGGTTCTGGTCAATATGCTTTCTTTGCAGAAAGATTCTGTTATTGCATGAAGCTCACACACACAAAATGCCTGCCCAAATGTATGAAAAGTAAAATACAAATCAACCTTGGGGACTGACATCAATAGCAATATATTTTTTTCAGGGGAACCCCATGCAAACAGTGAAATACACATTTAAAATGGATATTGGAGAATAGCTTTACCTACCATGTAACTATTCTGTTCTAACAGATTTCTGATCCAGGACCTCCTGTCAAAAAGTACAGATACATGTAAATAGGGGAAGATGGTCTAGAACCCTCCCCAGCCTACTGATTGACAATAAATAAGATTACGCTTGATAACAAGGTCCTCCCTGTGCTCCTAACCAGCCTGTTGATGCAAACTCCTCTGCAATACTGCATTGCCAGACATATTTAACTCTTTATTTCTTAGTTCAGTTTTGCAGTGGTTATGTCACTTTCTACCTCAATATGACACAGAAAGCCAAACAGCTAAAGCAGAAAATAATTATGTCCCTGGCAATGCAGCCAAGATGTGTAATTCAAATATATTAATTACATTTGTGCTGTATGTTTGTTTTGAGTGATTATAGACTATATACATGCTGACTATGACATGCTATTTCCTATCTTTTGAAATCTATATACTTTGTCAGAAAAAAACTAATTGTGATTATCTACTTATTTTAAGAATTTTGCATTACAATAATGTTACTACACATTTTAATTGTATTTGATCTAAGCACATTTTGATATTGTTTTATGATTTGGGAAACAGGATGAAGTTGCCCGTTTGTTAGCTATCAAGCCTGAAATTGGATCCTTGCAAGTCCAGGGAACAAAATTAAAAGAAACGGAGCAAGGCCCAATGTTTTTGGATGCAGATGTAGCAGCTTTTCTCAACCACTATAATCAAGTTCTTTTCAACTTGCAATCTAGAGAAAAACAGCTTCAGAATAGTAAGTGCAACCAACTAAGCTTATGGGTCTATAATTACTGGGAATTATATTAGATAGTTTGCTTCACATGTGTCTGCATATTAAATTTAGTGCACAGTGACTTAAGTGTGACTTAAAAACAATATTTATTTATTTATGTGTGGTTGTCTGTTTATTAAGATAGTTTTGTGTATGTGGCAATATCGTTTATTTATATAAGTATATTTAATCATTAAAAAAGCACACTTCAGTTTTGGAAAAGAAATGCCTGCTGAAAAAAAAACCCATCCTCTAGCACAGGGGTGCCCACAATTTTTTGTGTTGAGATCTACTTTTCAAATGACGAGCTACATGAGATCTACCAATGGAAAAAAATCTCCCTCGCTCTCTCTCCTGGCTGTTTCTCCTCGCTCTCCTGGCTGTCTCTTCTGGCTGTCTCTAGTGGCTGTCCTTGCTCTCTCTCCTGGCTGTCTCTCCTTGCTCTTTCTCCTTGCTGTCTCTCCTTGCTCATCCTCCTGGCTGTCTCTCCTCTCTCTCTCCTGGCTGTCATTCCTCATTTTTTCTCCTGGCTGTCTCTCTTCGCTCTCTTGGCTGTCTCTACTTGCTCTCTCCTGTCTGTCTCTCCTGGCTCACCTTGCTGTATTCTGCAAACAGTGTAGTGCAACAGGCTGTGTAAACTAATATTCTTTGACATAGGACATAGTACATAGCACTTCAACCACCAGTATCCACCAGAAAGTTGTCAGGGAGCTTGGCTCAGCAGACTCAGGCTAATAGGTAATCATGTGTGCACAGCTAAATAGTAGGGATGCACAGATACTTTTTGATTACCAGTGCAGATACTTGGTATTTTCATGAGAACTACCAGAGTTGCAAAGGTTGCAGCTGGGACCTGGCTCTGGTGCTCCACCACTGTCCTGAAATCATTAGTCTGTATTGATTTAGAAAAACTGTCACATGACAATAAACAAAAATGTATCAGTACTCATACTTGTAAGTACTCAGCAAGTACCAGTACTCGTACTCGCAAAACTGGTATCTGTGCATCCCTTTATTTATATCTATAAAAACAAAATCATACATTAAAACAGAGATGTACAAATCCCAGGAGCTCCGTGTGCTCCTTAGAAATGATAGCTACCTCCTAATTTTTGAATTTTTCTCTAGTCTAGTCTTGGAGCTCAAAAGTATCGGTACAGGTCAGACAAATCGAAATGTGACATTCTTTTTTGAAACTATGGCCGCCCCGACCTCCGGACTAAAGAGGAAAGGGACCTTTCAGCTTGTTATCAGCACTCAGTTCAAAAGCCTGCATCTCTGATAGTATGGGGTGCATTAGTGCATATGGAATGTGCAGCTTGCATATCTAGAAAGGCACCATCAATGCTGAAAGATATATCCTGGTTTTAGAGCAGCATAAGCTCCCTTCCAGATGGTGTCTTTTTCAGGGAATGCCTTGTATATTTCAGCAGGACAATGCTAAACCGCATACTGATCATTGACAACAGCATGGCTTCATAGTAGAAGAGTCCAGGTGCTTAATTGGCCTGCCTGCAGTCCAGACATTTCACTAGTTGAAACTATTTGGATCATCTTGAAATAAAAAATACAACAAAGAAGACCCGGGACTGTTCTGCAGTTGGAATCCTATATCAGGCAAGACTGTGACAACATTCCTCTCCCAAAAGACCAGCAACGGCTCTCCTCAATTCCCATACATCTACAGAGTGTTGTTAAAAGAAGTCAGGATGCTACACTGTGGTAAACATGGCCCTGTCCCACATTTTTTGAGACATGCTGCAGCCATGAATTTCAAAGTTAACTTATGGCAAGAGGTTAAAATGGTACATTTTCTCAGTTTAAACATTTGATATGTTTTCTATTTTCTATTCTGAATTAAATATGGGTTTATGAGATTTATATGAGAAGAATGTAACTAGCAATGCTGGAACACATGGAGGCAATTGGAAAAATATGAAACTCCCAGGTGATTAGGAAGAAATAACATTGTTGGAATATTCCAACATATAAGAAGCCATGTGCTGACTCATCCCACACAATGCACCTATAACTAAAGTTTTGGGTGTCTGATTGGGTTTGATTAGGTTTGGGAGGTGTAAGGAACCACCTTTCTCTTTTTTTAATTTGTTTTCACTCTTGAATGTTGTAGTGAAAACTGCATGCCAATAGGTTGTTGATGCCAAAACTCAGCATATTTAAACGTATTTATTGAGGGAGTTGGAAATCTTCATACAGTATAGAGTGTGAACATTATATATAGTATGTGAAGTATGTGAAAAGCAAATTGTGTACATATTTCTTACTCCTTAAGGCAAAAAAGCTTAATTCCCCTGTTATTCTAACTTGGCTGATTCACATCAACACTGTTTCTTAATTAAAATATTTTTGATTAAGAGTTAGAATATTTTTGCAACCAACTGAAACTTTATTTTGCTGACTTTATTTATTCATATAGTATAAAACATATTTGAAATAATGCTATCTTGGAATTCAGGAAATTGAAACCAAATCAGCTTATTTTTTTTCACAGCATGTTGATATATTGGATAACTAGCAAAAAGTTATATATATTAGAAGTACAGGTTCAGTGAGCACTTGTCTAGTGATATATTACATTTGCTTCACTACTCTTGCTTGATTTCTGCATTGCATCTTTTATAGCAGCACAATTTCTATTTCCTGTTTCCACCATGAGACAGGTAAAGGTGTAAAATCCAAATTTCACCAATTTTGTTTTACTTTTTTACTTCTCGACTTACTATCCTTAAAAAAAACAGCTGCACTTACTCCCTTGCATTTTACTTTTTTACTACTTTATGTTCAAACCAAAATCTATATGTACGGCCATGAACTGTACAACCATTGCAAGACCTTAGTCTTGCAATGGTTGTAAAGTGATTAAAAAAATGTACAATCTGCCCATCTTGGACAGGCAGATCGTACTCTCGATCATCACAAGCCCGCCCCCCTGAGGGGCTGGCTTCCGATGACCGCAACGCTGAACGGGCAGTGTGCGCGTGCGCACACCGGCCCGTTCGGCATTTGTCTCCCAAGCACCGTTCAAACCAGCCGAAAATCGTACGATTTTCGGCTGGTTTTCTAGCGTGCTCCTTAGACAAAAGACGTGCGGCCGTACAGTAGAAACGGTCGCACGTCTTCGTTCACACTGCTCGATTCTCGTACGATTGCGGGTTTTCCCGCGATTCTCGGATGAGAATCGAGCAGTTTATAGGCACCTTTAGACTACCACATTGGCACACATCTGGTCACTACAATGAAGGTTTTAGCCTGAAACCTTCATTTGCATATGGTGACTTTTTCTGTGCAAGCTGAAAAATAAATTCGTACTCTCGATCATCACAAGCCCGCCCCCCTGAGGGGCTGGCTTCCGATGACCGCAACGCTGAACGGGCAGTGTGCGCGTGCGCACACCGGCCCGTTCGGCATTTGTCTCCCAAGCACCGTTCAAACCAGCCGAAAATCGTACGATTTGCGGCTGGTTTTCTAGCGTGCTCCTTAGACAAAAGACGTGCGGCCGTACAGTAGAAACGGTCGCACGTCTTCGTTCACACTGCTCGATTCTCGTACGATTGCGGGTTTTCCCGCGATTCTCGGATGAGAATCGAGCAGTTTATAGGCACCTTTAGACTACCACATTGGCACACATCTGGTCACTACAATGAAGGTTTTAGCCTGAAACCTTCATTTGCATATGGTGACTTTTTCTGTGCAAGCTGAAAAATAAATTATTTAAATAGTCGATTGAAGAAAATAGGTCACCAGCACTCCATAAGTTAAAATGAATGAGTCCTTTTAATGGACAATGATGTCACAGAAATCCAACATGAGCCGACGTTTCGGGGCCACACAGGGTCCCTTCTTCAAGGCAAGAGATCACATCTCTTGCCCTGAAGAAGGGACCCTGTGTGGCCCCGAAACGTCGGCTCATGTTGGATTTCTGTGACATCATTGTCCATTAAAAGGACTCATTCATTATAACTTATGGAGTGCTGGTGACCTATTTTCTTCAATCTTGTGTTTTGCACGGTGCCATCCGTGAAGTTACTTCGAGCACCATTTATTTGATTGTTGGCCGGGACTGCTGAAAGGTGTGCGGAGGGCACCTCCATCAATTGCATCTTATTTAAATAGTCATCTTTTTTTAATAAAAAAATGTCAAAGCATTAGTACTATTTGGGCAGGGTATTTCCTGCACAATGTTTTTCCACTTTTTGTTTTTGGTGGGTCATTTGTATCTTTCAAACAAACCTGAGGCTTGATGCACATTCCATCTGTGTTCTAGATATCAAAGCCAGTTGGAAGATTAGAATTGGGCATTTTATTCTTTGATGTTTTATGCAAAACAAAATATGTTTTTAGTGTTTCATACACCAAAAATTTTATTTTAAATATGCTTTAAAGAGTAACTTCTAAATGAGGAAAAGGAATTCCTAATGAAGGCATTTTATTAGAAAATTAGTATTGATATGCAAAGGCTCTGCCAAGTAATTTTTCCATTTTGTAGACTGCACACAAAAGCTGCAATTTGACATTTTTAATAAGTGTGATGGCTCAATTTAATTAATGTGAATGCCACATTTCATGATTATTTAATGGGCAATTATCTTTTTTTCTTTGTCTTTATTTGCATTATGACTCCGTGCTTATACATATATATGTTGACACATGCTTTGGCAGAATTAACTATTTTCCCTTTTTTTTTTACTAAGAGTCATTTCATTTAACACTGTGTTATTTTGTTTTAATGTAGGGAATGTCAGTCTGTGCACTGTAATGAACTGCTTCATTTCAAACGAAGTCTATAGTATAGTGGGACTGTTTAGAAATAAAAGGATTTTCCTTACACATACCGTATGTTCTTTCTAGCAATTTTAAATCAGCTTTTGCAGTGTTTCCTTTAAGTGAAAACATACTTGTCTTGATACAGGCAAGTCATACTGCATTTTTTTCTGACTGACCATTTTGCATTTCAGTTCACCAATTCCAACATAACCAACTTCCATTTAAACTGAAATTTCAGTTGTTGCTGGCAAGTTAAATTACATTTAAAAGAGACAAGTGGATGGCTTTTTGGTTTTCTTTAAGTCCTCCACAAACAGACTCAAAAATGTATCCAGTGTAATAAATATTAGAAAAAACTAAATAGACCTCCTTTGTGAAAATCATTAATCATTTATCAAGTTATATTGCACATGTCTTAAATTTCTTTATGACTTCAGTGACAAGAGGGAGTTGCCAAAACTGGATTGTTTTAGATGTCTGGCATTCAACTATAAAGTTATGCTGATTTGAAGGCTGGATTGCTGCTTCTAAAAAATGTCTAACTCTCTGAAAAATCTCCCTGGTAATGCTCAAAGGGAAGTAGGAGAGCAAAGAAGCAAAATACCATGTGTATGCCACTTGTTCAGGCAAAACGTTTATGTTGAAAATATTGCAAAATGCAAAAATATAATACAAGAAATATATAAGTAAAGAAATGCAAGATTTTAAACAATATCTTATAATATGTTAAGCTCCAAGGTGCTTAAGCAGTTTAAATCTATGTGGTCTCAAAAGACCTAAGGCAGCCTCTTACTGTTTAAACTAATGCAGATGGGCACTTTGTTTCTGCTTCCAATATGGATAATTATTTTGCATACACCTTTTGATGCCAGTTCCTCTTGGGAACTGGCATCAAAAGGTGTAACAATAGTGATTGGGTAAAATATTTAAACCTGTCTAATCAATCTTAACTTTTAAAAGGGAGCCGAGTGAATAACTGAGCCGAAGTGAACTAAGCCGAACGACTTTCGGCTATTCACTTCAGTTCAGTACGAGTGAAATCAGTCGTACATCGGCTGCCTTCGGTCAGCCGAACATGCTCTGCATGTTTGGCTGAGTCAAAGTGCAGAAGGAGTTCAACACAGCTGATCCAACATATGGATCAGCTGAGCCGAAGCTCCGGCAGTTCTCTCGCTGCCGTTCACCCCTATTCTCAAAGGGGTCAAATGGCAGTGAGTGAATAGCCGAATGCCTCCAAGCGGCATTCAGCTCGGCTATTCTGCTCGCTAGCTCCGACGTAGCAAGCAGAATAGAACAACTGTAAACAAATGGAAAAAAATGTTTAAAAATTATTTCAATAAATGTAAAAAAAAGGAGAAATTAAAAAAAGTTGGGAAAATAATACAAATATTTTTTTTTAAAGAAAAAAAACTGCTTGGGGTCCCCCTCCCAAGCAAAACCAGACTCTTCAGGTCTGGTAGGAATGATGTGTCCTGCACCTGACATTTTTCCCACAGGTCCCAGACGAATTGTAAACAAATGATGTCACGGCTGGCTCTGCCCAGTTGTCATTTAATGACAGCCCAGTGCCCTCAACCTGAGGACACTGGTCTGTCATTGAAGGACAACAACTGGGTGGAGCGAGCCATGATGTCACGGCTGGCTCTGCCCATTTGTGTTAGTTTTTCTTGATCTTTGACCTAAACTACATTCAATCATCTGGTATGTATAACCTCATTTACCCTTTGGCCAATTATCTGTTGAAAAGCCCCTCAAAGTCTCTGAACACTTTGACTGATTTCATAGCTGGATTTATTTGTTCTCAGGCATGGCAAAAAAGTATCATTCACATATAACTGTTGCTATGAGGTTCTGTCTTCTCAGCTTTTTAGTTCATAAAACATTTCAGTCGGTTAAAAAAAAGTGAACATTTAATTTTCAGTTTGCAAATACATTTGAAAATGTATTAGAGCTTTCTAATTTTGTCTAAATAAAAAATGTTAAAATTGAAAATTAACAAGTCAAACACTACAAATATACAGAAAACACTAATGATAAAATATTACACATAATTATAGGTATTGTCATTTTCTGTTCTGCCAGTGAGTTATAAATAGTCCCAGTGATTTGCTCATTTAATGATTTGCAATATTGTATTTATCATTTTGTACAAGCTCCCTTAGATTATGCATTTTTGTAATGCAAATAAACTGTAACCTTTCTATGTGTACTACATAACAACACTATTTTGGACAGTAGCAAAAATACAAACACTCTTATACCATTACATTTCCACTATTATATTTTTTATTAATGCAGTAGCAGAACAGAGTTGTTCTTTGTAAATGTCTGATTACAATACAATTTGCCTCATGTAACAAATTCTTGATTTTTTTTGTTAGTTTTAGGTAGTTTACCTCCAATACAATACAAGGAGAAAATGAGCACTATCCTTCTATGGATCCAGCAGTCTGAAACCAAACTTGCTATACCTCAGGTCACTGTTACTGAATGTGAAATCATGGAACAAAGACTCAGGGAGCTAAAGGTATGTGGTTAAATGTTGCTTTCTATATTGTTACAAGGCAGCGTACACTACCGTATACTAAAGCAGAGATTTTTCCACTTTGCCTTACAGTAAGGCAGTTCAAAACAGGAACCGTGACACATTTTATGAGGCAAACGTACTACAGAATCATAGCTTGATTCATAAAGTCCCCCTTCTGTGCTCAAAAGTAGCACTGCGCCAATATAAAGCATGCAGCTGAACACTTCTTAGGTGGCCTGTGTGAAAAAATTGTTACAGATATTTGGAAAACTGTTGGTGCTCCATGACTGCAAGTGCAGGGTTAGAAAATACATGAGGATAAGGATCAATCCTCTACTAAATGGGAGGTAGCCGTGTTTGTACTAATGAGGTGCCTGATTATTTTGCTAACATTGTTCATAAATATCCTTCTCATTGTAATGCATTACTGTCTGAAAGTTGAAGAATACTTCTGTACTATATAAAATGGTCATGATCTAAGTGGCATGTACTAAAGATATAGGAGAAACACATTGAGAAAATTGTGTCAAGTTGCTGTATCTTCTTGTGAGTTAGATTTGCACATCCTAACTACAAGCTTTCCTGTATAATTAGGATGTGAAAATATATTAGAAAGTGGTCCAAAGGAGCTTCCCCTGTTTACTTGTTACACTAATCAGTAAATACTATATCACCTTATCATAGTTAAAGGAAGTAGACAAGTAATTAGCTCTACACTCTTTGCTGTGTGAAGCTGGCAATACACCTTACAATTATCTGCAGATATTCTGTGATCAGATGGAAAAGGTGCAATAGATTCCTCCATCTACACTTAACTGTGTGGAGGGAGTAATCTCCACCTGGTCCAATCTGTAGCACTTTTTCCATCTGACCACAGAAAATCTGCAGATAATTGTAATGTCTATGGGCACCTTAAGATTACTTCATTTAAGCTTCATCAAATAACAGCTGTGAGTGAAGCATTGGGAAAACCAGTGGCTCTAAAAGGGTGTTATGCATTCCAGAGAGGCTGGCGTAATAAATCCTAATTATGCTATTTTAGTGAAATACATAAAGAAAGCAACTGTATTTCAAATGGTGTCTCTTAATCCTTGTGAAACTATGGCTATGTGGTCTTGCAGAAACAAGGAGACATTGTATGGGGCAGTGTTATGCTACTGAAACTGCTTTGGATGCTGGAAATTTTATCATTCTTCATATGATGCTAGAAACACAATGAAGTCTGTTGCAGCCAGTTTGCAACTTGAACTGCTGTGTAAGATCTTGCTTCCTATGCAAATCCCTCATTTGAGGCTGTCTACATGAAGAAACAGTAAAAGCATGCTTCCATTATGCAACATAATATCACTAATAGACAGGATTGCAGTGTTCCGCTGCTTTGAAGAAGCATGCTCATGCTGTTCACCATTGCTGGTAGTATATTATTACCTGATGAAGAAATATTTACAGAGTCACTCTCTGTTTACTTTAAATAGGCTGATGCTAATATGCAAGGTCTATGCACCATGAGGGAAAGGAAGGTATACAAGCAGTAAAATAGGTCACAGTTTTCATACCTTATGCATTAGGGACACTAGTTTGGCTTCAGTTTTGGGTCCTGAGAGCAGAATCCATAGTTAACTGAAAAGTGATTGCGTGGACTAATATTTACAAGATCACTATTATGCCACATGAAGCAAACTTTCACTGTGTGCAGAGAAAAATAGTGTTCACCTTGATGGATCTTTTAGTTATGCACTTATCACTATTTGTTCCTCAGCTTGGACTGTATTTAAAGGCATGGTTGTCCTTTGTTGCTAATGATACCTTTTCACAAATTCTCATCTGCCATACTATGTGGAAATTTTTATTGAAACCTTTGCTTTATATCCAGAGCTACCATTGGACAATAAGGTCCATCAATGAAAAGCTTGTAGAGCAGATGGTTTAATATTACCTGAGTTTTACAAAGTCTTATGACAAATTTTAGAGGTAAATACAAAGCGCATTCTTTTAACATGTTGCCCTAGGTAGAGAAAAACTAGAAGTTAAAAAGTGTTCTGGATATATTTGCCTCAAAGTACTTATCAAACTAGTGTTGAGCTTCTCAAACCAGCCACCATTGGTTGAACTTCATTGAAAATATACTAAGGCCGATTTTAGAGCCAATTGACCTACTATCATGTCTTCTGAACTTTTTTGTTTAAAAGCATATACCCTTGCCTGAACATAGCCTTAAAAAAATACTGTTGATACAGATCTTCAAATCTTTCATTTATTGGCCTACATCTTATTATGCTTGCTATAGGCAATTATATTTTTCCCACACAACAAAGAGGGAAAAAAAGATATATATATATATATATTTATTTTGATTCAATGTACATAATGTAAGTTGTTTGGTTAGGAATCATTTTTTTTTTACCAGGATTCCTGCAGATGCATCCTAAGTTAAATAAGTGGTGGCAACAGTTGTCTATTAGTGGAAACTCATGGCTAAAGAAAAGTGATCATATATTAATTTGATATTCAATGAATCTGTTAAATCTGGTAATCATTGTAGTAATTGGTAAAATTATTTAGCACCATTTACTATTAATATGTCTCTGTGTGTTTGTCCATCCATCTTTATTTCATTTTAAACAGGCCTTACAAAGTTCCCTGCAGGAGCATCAGGCTGATATGAATTATCTCAGCAAAACTGCAGAGGAATTATCAAGCAAAGCACCTGCTGATTTGAAACAAAAATACTGGGCAGAAATTGATCAAGCCCAGGGCCGTTGGAAGTCATTATCAAATCAGCTAGCAGGACAATGCCAAAAATCAGAAGAGTTACTAAATAAACATAGACAGTTCCAGGTACTCTTGTGAACTTTTGTAACCTTTCTATTCACTAGATATTTTCTATACCATTTCAAAAGTGCTGTGCAGGTAGTGTACTGGAAAGTGGTATCATCAATTGCCATAACAAGTTATCAATTGTCTCTGGTATTTCTGTTACTGTTATTCTTTCTGGATATGGAACCACAGAGCTCAGCACATTTCACAAACAAACCCTGGTGGTGTCAGCTTTCTACCCAGCACTAAGCTTTCATATTTTCCAAAATGTCCCTAAATTCTAAACACAGGACTTTATTTTAAAGAGTTATTGCTAAGATTTTTTTTAGTCTCTGTAATCATCCTTGTGTGCCATTTCTACTAGATGTACAATATGAATTCCTAATGTATGCATACTAGGCTCTTGGAGGCTGTTGTTTAAAATGCATGCATTTTTGTTTAAATGACCAATCTAGGATATTTGTTTTAAAGTATATGTAAAGCCAAAAAAAATGTAAGCACTTTGTGGTTATTTTTTGCTGCATGTGTCCCATTGGAGAGATTTCCCTTCACATCCTGTCCTGAAGATGCAACAGGAAATGAAAGAAAATGGGAACAGCCTATGAGTTTGCCTAAAATGTTTTATCAGTTTTTAAATCGTTTGTTGTTATTTTATTTTGACAAACAGCTGAAATCACACAATTACATATTTATCGCAGGCAGGTTGGCTGACAAAAAAATGGATAACATTGTTGATAACATTTAACAAATATAATTAATACCACTAGTTATGAGTGAAACAGGATAATTGGTGATTTGCAATTTTTTGATTTGCTTATTTGTTTGCAATCATTGCAGATTTCTTGGATGTGTGGAGAATCAAAAATTCAGAAATCTAGGCAATCATGATTTATGGATTATTTGTTCTATCTCAGTTTGGACAAAATTGCAATCATATACTCAGGCAAATAAAAAAATGAACAGTTAACTGATTCACTCATAACATATGAGGCAGGAGTATGAGCCACATGCTCCTCATATCATTAAGCACTGGGTATTCCTTAATAGAGCAGTGAAAGAGTGAAGGGAAGGTGAGTATGTGTGGCTAGGGAGGTTAGTAGTAGGAGAACCTTTTGTTTTGCCCTGCACAGCAAAATAAGTACAAATACATGTAAAGAAAAGGGACTATATAAACAGTGACCACCTATGGTAAAGATACAATAAACATTCATTTACCTCTTTTACCAACACAGAATGATATGAAAACATTAAACAAATGGATGGCTGAAGTAAATGTTTTCCTTAATGAAGAATGGCCAGCCCTTGGGGATTCAGAAGCACTTGAAAAACAACTAGAACAATGTAGCGTAAGTATACCATTCACTGGAAAAGCATGAAGATATATTACTTTAAAAATATATAAATGGAATATGTAAGCATTTTGGGACAGAAGATATGTCTTCAAGAAAAATACAGCAAGTCCAATTGCCTTGACTTATTTTTTACAGATATAATATGAACTAAAGTTTTAACTCTAAACAGGGACGGAGCTACCGCCAGTGCAGCCAGTGTGGGGACTGCACTGGGGCCTGAGCCTGGGGGGGGGGGGGCCGCAGCCCCAGGCGAGGGGGGACAAGGT